GTTTCAACAATATTCTGAATTTTCAAGTTTGAGCAAGCAGGTTTCCACAGTCGTTTCCTCGGTCGAATGTGATAATATCATAGAAGATGTAAATAAATTTTCTCGAAATGAAAGACTAAATGCTTATATTGTTCGGAATGATTCGATTCTTCAAAACTTTTTTTACAGAAATAAGCTCAGCTCAACTCCATTGTTGCCGATTGATAACTCCAATAACTTTGGAAGATCCATTTCAGTATGTGATTATATTATTAAAAACCTTCGAATCATTCACGTCTTGAGGTATTTCACGAGTGCGCGTGTCTTTATAAGAAGTATAGATTTAGACTACAAGATTTGTCTGTTATCTAGAGTTCTCTCGTTCGAGCGAAAATTGTCTGATAAATTATTTTCTGAGATAGTCATCTTTATTGACTCATATAAATTATTAGTATCTTCGTATATGGACGACCCGTCAAACGAAGATAATATTTATTTCTTATTAAGTCTAACTAGCACTTCCCAACTGTTTAACGAGTTCCTCATTCAGGTATCAATGTGCATTCCATACATGCAAGATAAGTACGTTGTACATAGAGACACAATTAGTTTTATTTGGAAGTTGGTCAAGAAAATTAAATCTTTCCTATCTACCGTAATGCTGCTATCTAAAGTAATAGATGTTGTGAGTGATCAACTTTCTATACTAGACAAGCTTCTCTCGGAAATCTTACTAATAATAAAAATTATAGATCACAAGCTGGTGAATAGAAGTTTATATGAGGCTTATTCGTTACAGAATTCATCAATCAAAATTATCAGTTTAGATTAGTATGCCGTACTAAGCAGCGACAAGCTTATTTATTTTAAGTAAATTCTGATTTTGTGGCTCGTTAACTATGTTTGTTTGGTGTTTTTGAAATAGTTATCTATATTATTTATTGGTCTATTTTTATCAAAAGTTTGTGTGAAAAAAATATCTTCCAGTGTACAAACAAAAATATACAATGCATGCTTTTTTGCTTTTAATCTGTTTGGTATCTTCGAAATTATGGACAGCTAATGAGCTGAGCTCTGAAATCGAGCCTATCTTGAAAAAATCTATAATGCGAAGTAAGTAACGTGCAAAAAATTGTTTAGTGCAATCAAAGTATTTAATCGAGCCTATTGAGCACACTGTTCAGCAAAATAACTCTCACTACAACGCTTTGGCTAATGAAGTTGCTGAAATTAACCTTTTGGACGAATCTACGGACGACATAAAAGTCGAATCGTACGCTATCGATACACAGCTCATAAGAGACATTTTCAACGAAAGTTTTCAACAGTTATTTGAAGTTTTGAAAAATCAAAAAATATTAGCAGAAGCGCTGCCAGTTCCAGACGATTTAACTTTGTAAGTATTTAACCGATCGTTGCGGTTTTAAGTCACCAGCAACATTATGATAAAGAGCAAAACTGATTTAACAGATTTTATGTGGTGATATCTTTTCTCATGTAAAAATAGATGTATTATTAGTTAGATTAGTTTTAGTTCTTTCTGTGTTCAAGTTTTAATACTTTATCATAATGACTATTATTACACACTTTCTTAGGATGAATCAAGGTAAGATTAGCTTGAATATAAACGGTGTCCGTTTAACATTCCGCCCAAACATGAAAGTAGAAGATTTGAATTATATTTTCAGTCAGTTCAACAACATCGAAATCGATAAAATCAAGAATCTCTTGATGCTCCAAACCGACATTCTACCAATATTACATAATTCGCTTCCAAGTATTCATCAAGCTCTGATTTCTGCTCTAGATGCAATCAACGCTCTACAGCCACAATCGTTTAGAATTATATCTGTAATTCCCGCGGTTGTAGAGTTTCTATCCAGTGCAATGTTCTTACAGAACGCTAGTGACCCTATAATAGTAATAATGACTTTATATGTCCAAGAACTGAACCAAGTAATACCGTATATAATGCAAGTATTTGACGTATTACGCAGTGAGCGCATGACAAGAATTCTAATGAGCTTAATAGACGAAGTGAACTACGAATCAAGTATTCTTGAGCGTTTGCGTGTTGCGGTGTTAGATCTCCAAGTAGATTTTTTGGCAGTCAGAGACCTATACCATCAACAGGAGGAAACTTACCGAAGATTATTAAACACGTTTTTCGACATTTCCAACGACTTAAACGATTCGCTTCGTGAGACACTTTCGTCATTCGAAAAACAAGACCCTAATGCCGTTGTGTTCAGTTCTCCTGATCAATTCTTACCGCTTATCGTAACTAACGGTATGAGACTGTTACGTAGAGGCGGTATTAGTGCTCACATGGTAGAACTTCACGAAGCGTTTTTGAATATTCGTATGCTGCTAAAACAAATTGCGTCAATAAAAAAATCTAAATTAAATGAGCTAGTCAACGCGTTGATTGCTCTTAGCGTTTACGTTCCGCGTACCGAAGGATTGCTTCAAAATGTTAACGACTGGCTGATTGATTTCACCATTGTCCTCCTACATAGTCATTCTAAAGTGTTACCGGCCACGATAAAGCTTGTGGATAGGCTGATTTACTTAACCCAACCTACAATAACAAGCACTGAAATTGCATATGAAGTGGCGCCCATTTTGCAAGAACTTGCATACCTATTGCCAGACCACGTAGTGCTCCAACCCTTGCTCGCGCCTTTTCTGAGAAATTCGTTATACATTTCTAAACATTTGCTAAACATTATCGACGCTTACCAGGCAATTCAGGAATGTTCTTTAAAGAAAGAGACATCAAACGTCAACTGCACTGTGTTCACATTTTCAAAGTTATTGATCACTATTCAAAGCTTGTTTGTTTCTCAAGGTTAACTCTATGGATAATTAATGCGAAAATATATACACTGCTACTGATAAAAAAATTTGACTATTTATTAAGGTGTAGCGATGTTGGCTGTCTTAAAAAATAATCGTGTAAGACAATTGCGTTACTTTGCTATTTTAGTCCGACTGTCGGGCTATGCTATATGAGCTCACATCACCAATCTGCAAATTTGCAGAGGTTAAGTTTTACAACTTTTTGTCGTTAGATCTTTAATTAATAATAATATAATATGTAATCGTTAAATCTTATTTTTCTCGTACACGCCAGCCAATATATCTAGACGCACTCCTACCCTTCAAACATTGGTTGTTTCTGCAGTAGAAATACTCATAAACATTTCCGTCCCGCTGGCCTAATTTGGGGTCAAAAATGGATTGACCGCGCTTGTTACATTCGGGGCAGATAAAAACATTTTCACATTCAGTAGTGCGTCTCGAACCTTGCTTTTTTCTGGCAGCGTTTATTACACGCTTTTTTTTTTTTTTGACCGAGTTTTCTTCAGAAGCGGGCTTTACCTCTTCTGCTTCCTTTGACGGCAGAGAAAACGGTACTGTCTGTGCAGACTGATTAAGCTTTATAATAGGCGTACACAGTATTTGTACCAATATATTGTCTGTAGACAACGATTTTTGCTGGGGATGGGGCTTGTAGTCAGGAGGCGGCGCTAACACTGTTTTAATGTTGAAATTAGACTGTCTATTAAAGTTCATCTGATGTTTTACCGATATCTGGTCGCAGTTTTTTATTAAATCGTCCGTAACTTTCATGTCTTGAGCATTTGTATCTCTTAACGACAATGTCGAAACAAAGTTTTTTTTCGAAAAAGCTTTGTTCGGACTTTCTTCCAAAAAGTTAAGGTTGCAGTTGAATTTGGTCCCATTGAATGATAACTCTGGGTTGTAAGAGTCAGAAGATGAGTAAGTGGTTTCGACACTCTCTAGAGTGTAGTTGGTGTTTTTTCCGTCCGACCGATCGAGAGAGTAAAGATCGTTAATAATGTCATTCTCTTCTTTATTTATAGTTTTCAACGAGTTGAGCGCTGAAAAAGCCGTAAGAGTCAAATTATTTTCAGGAAATTGTTTTTTCTTCAAGTTTCGACTCATGAATCGCTCAATGCTCTTGTCAGTCAAAAGCTCGTACTTCCACAACGGAGTTGAAATTCCCGACACATTCTGCAGTAATATATTGCGTTGGTCGACTACATATTCTACAAACTCGATTAGAGAGATTTTGTTTTGGAGCAACACACGCAGTGCCAGCTCGGCAGTAAGCGAAACTAAATTTTCAGCGTTTGCGTTGTAAATACACGGCATTGCAAATAATTATTGTGTGAATTTAAGCGTCGGTATCAATCTCTGGTTTCTAAAAAATTCAATTGATTTTCTTATAATCTAATTCTGATCGCTGGAAAAGAGGATTTACGTGTGCAAAACTATCATTCCGCACTTTTGCGTGTACATTACAATATGACCAATTATATTTGATCTGTTTATTATATATGTTATTTAACTTAGTTTAAACGAAGATTAGCTAATGAATGAGTGCAATTATGTGAACGAAAACAAATTAATTGGAATAATAAGGAGAAATAAACAATGTAAATCTGTTTATAAATTTTTATTAGTTTCTGAATTTAGCATTTGGGTAAGCTGTTCGTGATAAATTTCAGAGATTTTTTCTCGTGCGAATTTGAACGTTGGCGTAAGACACTTGTTCAAGATAGTAAATTCTTCAACCAGGGTAACGTTCTTTGGTCTCATGATGGGCAAAATAAAATTAAGTTTCCCGGAATTAAACATTAAATCAGTGAAGTAGTTAGTGAGAGATTTAGATTGAAGGTATGCATTAGTATCTAAGTTGTCGGATTTAATGAGTTCTTGTACTTTATCGTTCTCTAAATTCGGGAAAATTAAAGCGACGGTTTTTGATGCGCCGTTTACTGCGTATGCAAAAATTTGGTTAATTTCTGGCAGCGAGCTGCAAGCTTGTTCGATGGTTTCCAGATCGACGAACTCTCCGTAACTCAATTTGACAGAACACTTGCTTCTGCCTACTACGATGAAAGAATATAAAGGCGAGGACGTTTCCTGTACAACGTCTCCTGTGCGGTAATAGCAGGTCTCGTTGTACGATTTGTCTTTTTCACGCTCACCGAAGAAAGCTTTGCGAGTGAGATCTGGCCTTCTAAAGTATCCAGCAAAAATAGATTTACCTTTGATCAACAGTTCACCTCGGCGATTCATTTTGTTTAGATTGGCAAATTCAGGTCCCTGGTAGCCGTAATCGACAATAGCTTGGCAACGAAGTAACCCACCTAACGTGTTAGTGTGTTGAGTATATTTTCCTGTTATAGAGACAGGACCTGTGGTTTCACTGGCACCATACCCATTAATTATGGGCACGTTGGCGTAACACTCCATTTTGATCCGGACTTCATCACTCAAACTTGAAGCTCCGCAAATGATGAGACGAACGTTACCCAAAATTGCGAAAGGTTTCAAGATTATACTGTTCAGCTTATTGGCGTCTTTATTCCATTCTTTGCACGCCAGTCTAGACTTTTTACGGATTTCTAGGCGCTTGTTCACGATCCATCTGATCAGACCTGATTTTTTTGAAAGTGCTGCGTCCATGTTATCGACCAAAGTAGTGATTATTTTACTAACGGCGGGAAGAATAGTTACTTTACCAATTCTGATATCATCCAATACGTTTTTTTTGACTCCCGAAAACACAAATATCTTCAATCCCAAAGCAATAGTGAGAATTCGAATTATTCGCTCGAACACGTGAGCACAAGGCAAATACGATAACAAAATATCATCTGCCTGGAGATCTGCGCAGTAGTAACTTTTTAACTCGTTTCGACCAAAAGCAAGCATCGACATGAAGTTAGCATTTGTTTGCAAACATCCCTTAGCAACTCCTGTTGTTCCACTGGTGTAACAAATGGTATTAACATCCTTTAGTGAAGTTGGTTTTGCGTATTTACGGTATAAGTCTTTAATCGAGGTGTCATGAAAATTTAATTTTTTTTGAACGTATTTAATTAAGTCATTCAAGAAGTAAATCTTCAGAGAACATTGTTCTAGTTCCTTCAAAAGATCGGCGTAGTATAATTTCCATTTCTCGTTACTTCCGCGAGCTGAAAGATCTATTCTAGGTGTAAATATTACCAATACCTTGAGAATCTCGCGTAACGAATCGTCACTTGCAAGCTTGTTCCACCACTTTAAAAAATTGGACACGTATTTGATTTCGATAACCAAAGTTTTGATTCGTGTTTCTCTTATTATGTTTTTCATATTTTCTTCTCCAAACGTATCATACAGAGGACAGAAAGTGACATTGGCGCAGCTAGCAGCCATTTCAATTATCAAGTACTCAACAGTAGTAGAACCGTAAATACCTAGTACACGCATATTTGCCGCATTTTCATATTCTTCGTCTGGGTAATTGTTAATCGGGCAGAGGTTTCTATCGTGAATACTAACTGAAAAAGAGATTGCGGCCTTAGCCAGATCAATATAAGTCATCCATTTTACTTCATTTGAAAAAGTTGGTTCCTCAGATTTGTACCAATCGTCATTATAAAATCTAGTGCCAATCAAAGGTTTTGTAGGATTGTCGATGCAATGATCTATCAAAACATCCAACACACGACAGTATTCTTTGAGATTTTTCTTAGGCTCTTGATACACGTCATCTTCACGAAGAACAGGTCGTTCGAGTTCTTTACGGTAATAAATGCCATTAATATCTAGTTCAAACATGTTTTATTTACTAATAACTTACCTTTATTGCTAATTAATAAATTAGAAATCGCCAGGTTATTGAAAGCACCAGAGTTCGTTAACATACTTATGAAATAATAAATGGGTCAAAGAAAATAAAAAATTAATAAATTTTGAGAATTTGGTACACAAGACAGAAATAATTATAATTCGACAACAAACCTGCGAAATTATATTTATTTATTATTATTAAAGCCGCAAAGAGTATTGCGAGTTAATTTATCTCTAATTATTTTTTTCGTCTTGCAAATATATTGTGTTTTGTCTTATTTCTTATTTCAGTGTACATCATTTAAAACAAACTGTTGTAATAACTAGGTTTAACACATGGCTGCTAAAACAAAGACTGCTGTAGTACAACCATCGAAATACGTACAACCAACTCCAGCTGATGGCAAAAACGTAATAGGCGTAGCACATATTTACGCTAGTTTCAATGACACTTTCATTCACGTTACAGATATTTCCGGTAAAGAAACTTTTGTGCGAGTTACTGGTGGTATGAAAGTTAAGGCTGACAGAGACGAATCCTCCCCATACGCTGCTATGCTTGCCGTCCAAGACGTTGCAAACCGCTGCAAAGAACGCGGCATTACTGCTGTCCACGTTAAAATTAGAGCCACTGGAGGTCTTAAGCAAAAGACAACTGGTCCAGGCGCCCAAGCTGCTCTTCGTTCTCTAGCTAGAAACGGTATTAAAATAGGCCGTGTTGAAGATGTCACTCCCATTCCTTCAGATTCCACTCGTAGAAAAGCTGGTCGACGTGGTAGAAGACTCTAAGTCAACATTTCTTCATTTTTCACATTTTTATTGTTTTCCAAGATATTTGAACCTCGACGCATTTAAATGCATTTTAAATTTATATTTTTATTACACTATTGTATTGCTTTTTTAATTATCCTTAATTGTAGTTTTGGTTTAATCAAGTTAAAGCTGTTTTTAATGTCTTCCCTCATTCCAAACTCTTAATAGTTGTTGTTTTACCTGTATGTCCGTTAACCAGAACGTTACGAATAGCACAACCACTGAAAAGCTACTCTTGAATGACAAAAATAACGACTTGAACTGGCTCTCTAATTCAAAATTCACTGAAACTTCAAGTAACGTAACTATACTACCTAAAAATGTGTCTCATGTTTACAGCTACGACCCCAACGAAACGTTTTCTGTGTACAAAGATGGTACATATGCATTCAGCTCGTTAGTTTATAATCAACAAGTAAAAAAAAATAACTCAGCCGCTTTTCGGTCTTGTGTCATTGTGATTGATTATAGCGAATCGCTTAATAACAAAATTTTATTTAGTTTAATGAATTTGGAACAATATAAATCCGACATCGAGCGCTTTATCGTCAATTTTTTTTTATTTGGCTCCTTGAATGAACTAGCGATTCTTGTCCAAAATGCCGGTTCGACAAAACTCGTGGCGTCTTTCGTGCATAATGCAGACGCTGCGTTAACAGAACTTAAAAAATTTTTTGAAACAAACCAGCCAGAAGGGTCGGTAAGTATCGCCGATTCTCTTTTCAAGGCTGATACTTTGTTCAAAAGCACAACCAACTTAGTTTACAGTAAAGACATGGTGTTTATTTCTGCTTCGGTTAAAACTGTCGACAGCACTGCAATATTCGAATCTCTCTCGCCGTTTATAGAGGCTAAAATTCCAATTTCATTCGTGTCGATCGCCCCAATATGTTTTATATTTGAAGAAATCACAAAAAAAACTCAAGGAATACATTTTGTGGTTAACACTCGCAAACGCTTCGTAAAAGTTTTATTCTTAATTGCTTCTACTTCTAAAAAACAAGAACTAAACGTGTCTATGCTCGAAGTAGCTTTTCCAAATTACGAAACGTTTAGTATAGCACAGCTTTGTTCGTGTCACGCGCAGCTAAAGTACAAGGGCTATCGCTGTCCGCGATGTTTGCTTTTGTTTTGTCATGTGCCTACCAAGTGTATGTGTACTCTTCCTCAAACTGTCGCCACAATGATTGCACGTTCCAAACAGCAAAATATTAAAAACTACACTTTGACTTCTTGCTTAATTGAAGAACAAGAAAGCTGTGTCTGTTTTTTGTGCGATCGCAAATGTTTTTCAGGTGTTTTTAATTGTATAAATTGCAAAATACGTTATTGTATAAACTGTAGTTATTTAATACTAAAAAATAATTTGAATTGTACACAATGTTATAGAATAAACAATAATATAATTTAAACCTGTCGACAGTAAGCTAGTGAAAGATTTGCAGCCGCGTTAAATTTACAGAATTATTTGAAGCATTTTACAAAGGACAAAACACCAATTTTGATTCCTAATATTTTTTTAATCTCTCAAGCGGTACAAATTATGGCGCCAACACCCAATACTGGAGATATTAAATACGTAATTGTTCGTAGTTACGGAGGCGAACCTGCGTCGAGCGCTGTTCTCGCGCCCAAGCTCGGTCCTCTCGGAGTTCCCCCAAAAAAAGCGGGAGACGAAATGGTTAAGGTAACCCAAGCATGGAAAGGAGTACGTGTCACTGTCCGTTTGGCTATTCAAAACCGACAGGTCACAGCCGAAGTCATTCCAACTTCAACTTCTATGATCCTTAAAGCTCTCAACGAACCAATTCGTGACAGAAAAAAGGTAAAGAACATAACTCATTCAGGCAACTTATCCTTGGATGTTATCATTGATATTGCAAGAAAAATGAGAACTTGTGGACATGGTATTCCATCACGCACTCTCAAAGGATCCATTCTTGAAATTCTCGGAACTGCCAACTCAGTTGGTTGTACCGTTGATGGAATGAAACCGAGCGCTCTTCAAAAACTGATTAAAAACGAAGAAGTTATTGTACCAGAAATTTAACTTTTTTTTGACATTAACGGTGGATAGGATAGTTTAAATTACTTTGTGCCTTTTATCATACTATTCATTGATAAATTTTAAGGTGTTTAGTTTTACTAGCTTTAATTCAAGCGTGATGTTCATATTAAATATTTTCGATAATCACTATATTTTTCCAAATTCAACAACTTATATTTGTAACATCCGCAGAATAGCTTGTTTACAATTAAATTCTGTTTGCGTAGGGTAGAATCATTTTCCACCCGTTCAATCTGGCTTGGAAGTAATAGTAAAAAAAATCTAAGTAGAGTGCCACCTGTATCATTCCGCCAATCCATCCAGTGTAGTTGCAATAGTTCTCTTTTAGCAGTCTGTAAATCCAATTTATCAAATAAAATGTTCGATAAAGACCCATTGTGGTTACGTAATGCGAAGTTAGGTTTTCCACTACTCCGTACTTCTGCAGTAACACGATCTGCGGGACCAGGGCAAAGCTTTCTAGCCAGATTGAGAATCTCCATAACACCTTCACAATACTTTTGGGTTGTCCGAAAATATAGGAAATAAATAGAATGGGTAAAATCAACAAAATCAAGTAGTTGAAATTATCAGCTTGTTTATCGTAAGACTTGCTGATTGGTTTTTGAAAACGAATTAAGTACAAAATATAAATTGTACTAAAAATGAAAAAGAACTTCATTATCGTGTTGTATAAAGAAAAGTAAACGTAGAACAAGTCTAGGTACCGCGTTGAAAATACAATCAAGTATATCTCTTGCATTTTCGCCGAAATACCCGCGCAGTTTTTTGTTTTTAACAGCTTGTAAATTAACAAGCTGGAGCTCGCTAAATGCAGCATGTCTCCGGTGAAACGAAAAATATTCATGTTTAAGCTAGTTTAAAGCCGATCAACGGAAATGCCGAAATAATGTTGTGACAAAGAAACCGCGTGCTACACGTAGACTAATTTTTTTGTAATTGATAATGAAATTATATTATTAGATTATTGATAAAAACACTAGCTTTGATAAAAATATATTTAGCAGGGGCACGGCAACTTACGTTATTTTGGCACTGCACTGAATGTTATTAAATATCTATTTTGAATTTTTTTCTTTCTTCTTGCAGCCACTGATCTTGTGGAGCATCAGGACAAATTTCACAAAAACTAAAAATGCGTCCTTTTATGTATTGTTGAATCAAACGTCTTCCAGTCCTTTCTATGTCAAATAAACCTCCTTTCCCCGATTTGTAAAATTTTAATTCTTTAGAAATAATATTTAAAACTTCTGTAGCTACTTCATCAGTACAGTTTTGAATAGATTTCTGAAGCAAATCATTGTCTTTTATTCGGTAAACTTGGAAAACTAAAGATGGTATACGACTCAAGATACAGCGAACGACAGACAGGCAAGACCCTTGCCACGTGTTTATGTTGAGAATACCATTGATTACCAAGTCAGCCTTCGACTTAGCAGCTATAGGAAAGATAAGTCCTGGAGAATCTATCAAAGTGATTCCGTTTTCCAGTAACATAAAAGTTTGTAAAAACTTGGTTTTACCTGGTGTTGCGCTTACTTTGACATTTTTATTAAGGCGCGGGCGGATTATCGAATTTATCACAGTGCTTTTACCAACGTTAGGGAACCCTACTAAACCAACGGCGACGGTACTTGATTCAAGCAAGTTCGCGTTTCCTACCCAGTTAGACACGTAGTCGCTTTGGCTATTATAAGAACCTTCTGAACAAATTTCTTTGTCAACTAAAAATTGGTTTAACGTTTTATGTATGTCTTGGTTCAATTGGTCGAGTTCATCATTGTTTGAAAAATGTTTCTTCACGAAACTTTCCAATAAAATCCTCGCTTTTTTAGCGTTTTCGCGTTGTTGCTGTTTTTTTACGCGAATTGGCTCAACAATTGATTCAAGCTGTTTTAAAAGTTCATCACTAGAGTATGTAACAGTCGAGTTTACTAAAGAATGATAATTTTCCTCATCCGAAACTACTTCTATGGTGTTTTCGTTTCGCAAAGCTTGCAAAGAACTGTAAAACATCACCTGCAAATTTCGTTTTTCAAAGAAATCTTTCCATGCAAATTTTTGGTATTCAGACAAGTAATCACACTTGTTAAGTAATACGATTGGTTGTTTGCCTAATTCTTGAACGTAGTTATAGAAAAGGATGTTAAAGAACAACAGAGGTGATCTAGCATCTATGATGATCAATAAGACATCAGAAAACTCAACAGTTCGCCACAATTGTTCCCAGAAGTTCAAGTTCCTTTCAAACGGAGTAATACATATGTTTTCACTGCTGGATTTACGAATTTGGTCTAAACTACTTTCCAAGGTTTTTCTCCAAAAAGAAAAAGCTTGATTGTTGGTGAACACAATCTGTGATTTGCTCAAGTACGGCGCTGCATTTTCGAAATTCAAACAAAAATAATTGAACACAGAGCTTAAAAAAAATGATCTATTAGTACACGATGCTAAAGCCTTACAGCCATTCACAAGACTAAATTTTCCAGAAAAGTTTTTGAAGGTATAATATTTTCTACTCAATGAGAAGCCTAAACATGTTTTTGTTTCATTATTGCCCTCATATTCGTATTCAATCTCAGAATCGTCGCTAACAGTTTGAGACTCTTCAGCATGCTTGTCAAAAACTTTGCAGTCATTTTCATCATTGCTGAAGCGTTCACAGCCCGACGTACAATCATCAAATGGTAGTTCGTCGCTTTCACATTCTGAATCACAAAAACGTTGTTTTAATAAGTCTAGCTCATAGTTGAATTCCAGCTCGTCTAAAATGTTTTTGCTAGAACAGTCCTCGAAGTGGTTTATTGCTTCTCCAACGTAGCTCAAAAATGCAGTTATTCGATCCACGGGAGGATGAAACTTAAAACGACGTTTAGGAAACATCAAATCGTACTTTTTGCTAACATTTTGCGAATCTAAAACGGTAAGAGTATCAAAAATCTTAGACTCGCCTTCAAACGTAGTCAAAGTCTGGTTTTTGCGAATTAAAATCTCGTCAGGACCGGGTATAGCAAACTTGAAATTCGTTAAGTATTCGTCCAACGTGCTTTCATCGACTCGACTCTCTTGTTTCCTAGTTGAAATGAAGTCGTCCAGCGATATAAATTTATTTTTTTCCTTTATAGTAAGAGTTTTCTGGTGATCTGGAGTGGAAAAATCTTTATTTTTAGTGCCTTTTTTCTCTAACAGTTTTCCAAACCCTCCAGAACGCAAATTACTTTTAATTCGGCGTCCATACGGCATTTTTCAACAAAACCAAAATTTAGTGGCTTTTGTGGAAAAACTATTTTTTTCGAAATTTTTTTGCCAAAAAAAAGACTAATTGACTACCTTTATTTATAGAAATTCGTCTAACTATTTAATTAATATAATGTAATTGATTATTTAAATAATATTGCTGTTTTGTTCAGTCGAGAGACCGTTATTGCAATCATGGCGACAAACTATATAGGTCAGTGGTCTTAGTATGTTATCTGTAACGTTAACTTTTTTAGTTTTAATTACTCTGACACACAGAACTATAACAAGTCAATCAATAAAATAAAGAACAAAAATTTTTTGACCAAACTTCTTTATAGCAACGCTGTGTTTTCTCAAAAAAAAGAGTTTCAGAAATGTATGACAAAATTGTACGACTTATCTTTCCCCAAAGATATCCTTAAAGGGCTTACGATGCGTTCATTTGGCAATGATGTTAAGTTTGCGACAGTGGCGAAAAAAGACGTGAACGTATTTTTCAGAGAGAGCGATAAACATTTTTTTTTAGCGCTGTCGAAACTTAATCAAATTAAAGCAGACACACCAGACGTGTATTTAGACGCGTTGAAAGCATTGCATGAAGAATACCCAGACAATTTATTCTTGAATAACGAGTTGTATGTGTATTACCTTTTGCGAAGTGATTATCTGAACGCATTGGCATATTTAGAAAACAACGTATGTCTGACCAGTGGCCAAAACGTTTTTTTGCTCTTAAAGTTGGCTGATTTGTACTTCACTATGAACGATTTCGATAACGCATTGAGATACGTTCTATTCGCACTTGAAATCAATCCGACAAACCTACATGCTTGCTTATTGTACTCGAAATGCATGGCAAATATAAAATCTAAAGTCGACGTAGAAGTTGAGGTTGAAGAAACGGAAGACTCCGAAGTCGATGAAGAATTTTACGACGAAGCTAAGTCTAACCAAGATATCTTGCACGTTATCAAGAACAACGTGCAGCACACTGTGGCACAGCCATCATCTAACAAAAAACTATGTCTATGGCTAAAAAGCATTGGCCAATTAATCGAGCAAGAGACTCACTCAAATTCGCCATTAAGCAACTGAATCGATTCAGACTTAATAAAACTCACTGTTGAGTTTTTAACTGTGATATTTGAAACCTTAGCAGCCAAAATTCCGCAATTAGATAATATTGACTTTGTACATTTCAAAATATGTGAATCCTAAGCTTGTTTTTTGTTTATAAACTTACAGTGATGTAATAACGCAAAAATAACTTGATAAATCGCGAGTGACAAACTAGTATAAAAGTGTTAACGCCGTTGTCTTTGTGTTGTTTGTTACAATAGTTAATTATTTCTTCAAATCTGTTGACCACAGATCGATGAAACTTTCTGTTTCCAGAGCTATAATCCCACTTGAGGCTATCATGACTTAGCTTTTCGATGTTAGTAAACTTGGGCGACAAAAATAGTGATTGGCTTCGCCGCATGAATGCGTAGCTGACAGCATCTGGGTTGCGAGTGATTTCCTGCAGTGCTGTGAACACGCGTATTTCAGAGACATATTCGTTGTTGTGAAACGCAATTAGCGCAGTGTCGATAGCTCTGTTCAAATTGCTGCTCAATACGTGAACTGGATGGGCTTCAGAATTGTTTTCGACCTTAGATTTTATTATTTGGTTTAAAATTGGTTTTATGCCATACGCCTGTATTACGCCTTCGTCGGACAAAGGAGTGTCGAATATTGTGCTTTGCAACGACGTGATCAACATGAGTTCGATCACGATGGTCTTAATTAAGCTTCCAATCAAGGAAAACTTGGGCGCGTGACTCGGAAACAATCTGTTCCAAACACTAGAGCCATGGCGAACAAAAATGATTTCATATTGCGTTTGATTTACTAAGTCATCCTGCTTCGCAGCAGCTTGCGCAGAATAGACTTTTTGCTTGAAGCGCTCTTGGCGTTGCTGGAATTTACGCATTTCCGAAAAAAACATAAGCGTCAGCAAACACATGGATATCATCACCATCTTGAAGCAGCATGTTAGAACGAGGTTCAACAGCCATTGAACTATGCAAAACACAAACTTCGTCGCGACGTTTCCGTTGGCCCCGATATACTCTTTGATGCGCGTGTAAGCCCCGCAAAGACTATAAAAAAGTTCCTCTAAAATGTATGAATCATCAAATTTCTGACATTTCACGTGTAATAGTTCAAATTGGTCAAGTAATTCAGTGTCTTTTTTAGCAGTGAACAATGTTGACACCAAGATGTTCGAAATTATAAGAGAAGTAGCTAAATTTAATACCATATTAATTACGTCAACTCCAAATAATGTTTTTCGTTCCGGTCCTTGTTTTACGAATTATAACATGAGTTGTTTATACATAGTTGCGCAATTTACTAGAGATAACTTTTTGGCTGGTTGAAATGTTTTTTAAGACGATCCTGAACCACAAATAATTGAAAATTTGCTCATATAAAAAAACGGCAAAATATAAATAAATAAAAACCAGAGGAACTGACTGTAATCACCCGTTTACTTTTGTTATAATTTTCAATTGTACATAATTTTGTTAAAAATCTAAACGCACCATCAACTGTTTATGTCATAAACTGATATCTAGATCACTAATATAAGCGGCCAAGGAATTTTATAAATAATCTTCATATGTCTTCTCTGCTGGCTGGGCTAATCAATACCAGCAACGTACCCGATTGCCAGAGCGAGCTCGTACGCAGTTCCTCGTTAGAGAATTCAGTAACCAGTCCCCTCAGACCCCAGCTAAATAAAGTGCTTGATGTTTCTGCGCTTCGCGATAACTATAGGCAGCCAAACCAAGGAGTCGAAAATGAGGTCTACTTAGACTACCCGAACAACTTGATACAGTCCAAATACCATAGATCGAGAGTTTTTGCTGCAAACACTGAAAACACAGAATGTACTAATAAACAAAAAACGCAAAAAAAAAACTATGACAATCTGTTCGTTTTACAATCTTTTAACGAAATCGAATTGGAACTAAACCAGTCTGTAAATGCTGAACTTTTAAATACAAACACTACTACGTCTTATAAAACGCCAAAAAGCATTACCTCTATCTATACTGCAACTGATAATATCCAAAGCAAAACTACTCCGTCGTACATGGACTCTATCTCTAGTTCGAACGGTTTACAGAACTATGCTACACTTTTTAACAAAAATGACCATACAGAAGTGAACAGAAGCCTAAGCACTGCTCCGTCAATCCATAAAAATGCATCTCAGCTGAGTACGGTAGCCGACCCGTTCAGCTCAAGTTTTACCTACGAGGAAGAAAAAAATTCAGAGTCAAGTCTTGTAGTTCCGCTCATTGAAGATAGACCTGAGACTTTGTCGTGTAAAAAATACATTGAAGACGTCAGCTACAAACTTAAAGCCATAAACAACACGTCTCTCGAAGACAACCCGTTTAAAAAAGAACTGGATACTAACTCTGTTAGAATAAACATAATGAATAACGGAAATACAAACGCAACACTAGAACATCCACCCTTGACACCAAAAAATACGTACAGGGAAAGCTTTAAAAACGAACTTCTGTGCACAAAGCAGTCGTTTTTTGGAAATTTAAAGAAGATCGTCTTTCTTACAGTGGTAGAAATGTATTTAATTTTTATTATTTGCATAAATTACATAAAATCCAAATCCAAACAAATTACGCGGTTAGTTAGCAATCACCAGTAAAACAACCAATGCCCAAATGGTTGGATGAATTCAAACCACCGAAACCCGAACGAACGGTCAACGGAAACCCACTGTACGTCGTTAAAGACGAAAATGACATTCGTTTAACTTTCTTTCAATTCAAACTCATTCGAAACCACGATGTGCACAGCTACCTGCACTCACTCATAATTAAAAAAAACATCAAACTGTGTATTGCGATTGGTAATTGCATCTGCCGACGTGTACTATCGGGGTCGCACCAACTCGTGAGTGTTTTGGTTACAGAGAAATTGCTCGACGAATTCGAAGATTTGCTAAGCCGACGAACTTTTCTTGAGGGAATCTTTGTTTGTCCTTCCGACACATTTCGTAAAGTTGTCGGGTTGAAAGAAAACACTTGTAACGAAGTGGCGATTCTCGTCAACTTTAAAGTTGCAGAGCACATTTATTTTGATCTACAAAGGCCTAGCTTCCCGATTTTCAATTCGAGCAATTTGTTACGAGAAAGAAAATCTATCTGGGAAAATAATCTTGATTGTTACATAGACTCTCACGTTGAACTTAACCGAATTTCACCGCCATTTATCATCTTGGACGATATTATTAGTGCTGATAACGTGGGTTTGATAGCTAGAACTAGTTTTTGCTTTGGAGTTCTCGATTGGATAGTGACTCGAAGAACTTTTGCATCTATTTCGACCCGGTCGCTAAAGAGCTCATGTGGCGCGTTAATTTTCTTGCGGGTGCACGTCACCGACTCTTTGATAGATACCATTGAAACGTTAAAAGCCAATAATATTGAAGTATTGGCCACAACGCCTTCCAGTGATCGAGAGTTAAAATGTCTCAATCACGACAAGTGGGCACTCATCCTTGGTAACGAAAAAGAAGGGTCGAGCGCGGAGATACTGAATTCCGCTTCACAAAAAATTAAAATTCCGCAACGAAACGGAGATTCGTTATCAGTAAGCGTGGCTGCAGGTATTTGTATATTCGAACTGAGCAAAACTGCTTTCTTGTAGCGGTTTTACTTCGATCTGTTTGCTTCTGAGTAATAAAGATTTTATTATTTTTTTTTAAATATCTTGAAAAAAAGTTTTATTCCCCAACTTTATACGGGCACCGCTATCTCTACTATTTAAATCTTTACGATGACAGTAAAAAAAATATTTTTGAACCTACGCTCAATTTTACGTATTAACGAAAAAGTTTCTTCTACGCCAGAAGTTTGCATCAACGGTTTGTTGTTTGGTGAAAAAATCGGCGATGACTTATACATCGGCTCAGCGTGGCCTGTTTCCACGCATTTGAAACCTGGATACGGCATAGACAAGTTGAAGAAGGAAATTGACCGCATGAGACACAAGGTCGAAGCTTTCAATCAAGCTTTGGACACTGAGCCTCAATGTCTCGGTTTTTATTCCAACTTAAGTCGCAGATGTTTATGTCTAGACGAGGTCCCGTCTAACCCAGACATGTTGTCTTTGCTCTACAACCACTGGTCAGCCATAGAGCAAGACTGCGTTATAGTATTTTACAACTCAGAAGTCGAAGAATCTGGAGAATTTCCATTTACTTGCTACCAGCTCTCTCAAGACTACATAACGCTTGAGCAAAATCTTGACAAAGATGTAATTTCTTTGTCCGAGTTTAACGAGAAATTCGCCACAATTCAGCCGTTGATCGAGATTCCTTGCGAGTTTTTGCAAGACGCCAACACACAAGCCATAATCGACTTGTGTAAGCCAAACATAGAAACTTTGATCAAGTACGATCGGGAAATTCACGAGCACATTATCAATTCTCGAGCTAAGATTTTATCTGATTACACTTATATTTTAGAAGAATTAGCTGAAAGCGAAAAAACTCTTGTTAAAAATAACAACAAGCAGGACAACAATAATAACAATAATAAAGCCTAATTGTTATTTTATCTATTAACTATTTTTTTCAAATTAGCCGATTTAATTATTAATCTGTTCAACAAATTAATTTTCCGGTCATTAAACTCAAACCAGGTTAGGAATCATTTAGACGAATCAGATTAAAAATGAAGTTCCGATTTAATACTGACCACTGGCTAATTAATACGCTCGGAATTTATGTTTTTTTCATAATACAGGGTTTGTCTCATGAAGGCATTTACAAGACATACATTCCATCTTTAGGTCATAATTTTAATTATTCGTTATTCATAGTCTTTTTGTCCTGTGTATCAAATGCTATTTTTGCTTTAGTATTAATAAAAACGTTCAGCCTAGATAGCATTTACTTGTCCACTCTGAAGCAACTAATTTACCAAGCTCTAAGCAAACCTCTACCTAAGCATGCGAAGTCGACGCAAAAGCAAACCAGTTTAAGCGACGCAAACGTATCACCTGTCTCTAAATCATTGAGTTTTTCCGAGAACATCAAGTTTGCTCGGTCGCTGATGCTAGATTCTTTAATGTTGTGTGCAACCTACTTGGCTTCCAGTATTTTCTCCAATAAAGCTCTCACCATGGTTCCTTACCCAGTTCAGTTGACGGTCAAAACTGTTAAAAGTCTGCCTATTATTATTGGAGGGCGTTTGTTTTTTGGGCAAAAGCATAAAATTGAAGATTACTTGTACGCCGGTATAATAACATTCAGCTTGCTTTTGTATCAGTCGCCCAAAATTTTTAAGAATAACATTGACACAGGCTCACCTGTGGGATACTTGTTGCTCGCTATAGCTCTGTGCTGTGATGCATTTACCGGGCCGCGCCAAGACGTATACACGTCTCGCTACAATTTGAACTTCATTGATTTAATGTTGATGGTTAATCTGCCTAGCTGCCTACTATCAGGCATTTTGCTTTTGCTTTTGAACGGTCTGCAACCTATTTGGGCGATGATCGAAGCGGGACCTCGCTTCGCTTTAATGCTAACTATTTTTTTGTTAACCGGCTCAATCGGCCAAATGTTCATTGTTCGTACGTTACGCTCATTAGGTTCTTTGAAACTAACTTTGATCACGACTTGCAGAAAGTTCATCACGATACTAATGAGCTTGATGGTTTATAAACACAAATTGCTATTCATTCAATGGCTATCGATCTGTATCTTATTATCTACGACGCTTGTCAAGCCTGTTGTAAAAAATCTAAAAACGAAAAATAAATCTTTAAAAAGGTTTTCTTAATTAAGTCAGTTAAATCGAACACAACGACATCAGTTCGAGCAGAAGTAAAATTTTTTGACAAATTATTATTAAAACTGATTTTAAAAATAGGCTCCGCATAGTTAAAATAAAAGTTTATTGAGTTTGTTTCCATTTGTGATCGTAGCACTCCACATTGCTGATCATAATATAATTATTTCAAAATTTTTTAACAATAATCAGCTGAATTATTACATACTAAATTAAACAAAATCCGATAATTTGTCTAATTAATTGTGATTTAATTTTTTGGATAAAAACTTCTGACACGTTGGCTGTTTAGCGGAACGATTCGGTACTACATGCAAAAAAAATCAAAGAGTATATTATAGTTATTTAGTTAAGAATTATACTCACTAATGTTTAATTAAGTTATTCGCAGGACTTCGTAATTTTAGATATAATTATAAGACTGTTGCAAAATGGAAAAGAGGGAAGATACTGTTTCATCAAAGCATGAAAATTCACTATGCGAGGACAAGGCGATGAAAGAAAACGATACGTCTACGGTCAAGGATTTAGATTTCAGATCAGACGAACTGACGAACGATGTAACTTCGCATTCGTCAGAAGGACACGAGGACGATTGCAACTCAATCAAGTTAACGCCGCCAAGTCCTGTAAAGAATGACACCATCAAGCAGCCAGAGTCCGTAGACACTATTGATTTGTTATTTTCTAAAACAATGCAAGAAATGAACGACCAAGACGTCTACGAATCAATACTTTTCGAACAAAAATACTCACCCCATGCAAAAAAAAAATTAAAAAAGGATGAAAAAAAAAATAATATAGAATTGAGCGATAATGAGTTTCATCCGCAGCCAATAACTTCAGGTTTACGCTTTGAACCGAGTTACAACTACTCGGTTGACGAAAACTATGATGAATCTCTTTTTAGCCTGCCAAAAATAAATTTGAACAGTTTCAAACCTGTCATTACTTCAAACAGCGATTCGATGCTATACAAAGAAATAGCAGAGAATTTCGATCGTATTTGGGAAGCCGCCAAAAAGTGGAAGCCGCCGTCCAAAACGAAACAAACCCAAGTAGTAGGCATGGTCCCTACCAAACTGGAGTCACCGTCGATGGTTGTCGTGCAGACTCGAATGAAGGACAACGTTCGATTGATGCCTGTTAGTGATTTGCGCAATATACAAGAAAGTTACAGCACTCCCAAGAAAAAAGTCAAGCAAACTTCTTCCAGCGGTCGTTCTGGGCAAACCTTATCAAACGTGTGTTCATCCTGTGGCATCAACTCAACCAGCCAATGGCGAAAAATTAACAACAACATTCACTGCAACGCCTGTTACTCTAAGCTACGCCGTTGGATATTAAAAAACAATAAAAACCAAAACAACCAGAAAGACGTAGAAGAGTATTTTAGACTGTATGGAATGGATATAAACCATTATAATGAATGACAAATTTTTTATTTATTATTATTTTTTATGTTTTGAAATTTCTGATTAAAAAATTATCTTTCAGCTATAGAGATTTTTGAATGTTTGAATTTCATGTAGCTCCCCTGTTTAAAATCACAAACAGGCATTTTCGTGTTTTTCTCAGGCAGTTTACACACTGCGCGACTCTTTGGACTGAAATGATAAGCTCGAAAGACCTGCTGACGTGTCAATCTGCGGACAAACTTCTTGCTTTCGACAAGATTGAGCACAAAATTATATGCCAGCTGGGGGGCAATAACGCAAAAAATTTTGCCCAAGCAGCGAAACTAGTCGAAAAACACAATTATGACGGCATTAACATTAATGCTGGATGTCCCAGCACAAAAATAGCTACTAATAACATGGGTATTGACTTACTGGGAAAACCGGAACTTATAGCTGATATTGTCGCAGAAGTAAATTCCGCAACGAAATATTGCACTAGCGTAAAAACTCGCATCGGCATAAATGAAAATTCGGGTGGAAAATGGCTGAAAAATAAATTTGAAATTGCATTTCCAAAAAATCAAAATAAAAAAACTTTAGTTGTTATTCACGCTCGAACAGCCATGTCGAGTGGAATAGGTCCAAAAGAAAACCGATCCATCCCGCCCATTGAATACGGCAAAGCTATCGAAATTGCCAACACGAGAACAGACCTAGATTTCGTCATCAATGGTAATATAACAACGCTTGAAGAAGCTCTGCACTTTAAAGAGCTGACTCGCGACAACAGCGACCAGCCTTTATTCGTAGGAGTCATGTTAGGACGCGCAGTGTCTCGAAACCCCTGTATGCTGGCTTACGTGGACAAGTTGTTTTACGGCAAAAATCCTCCTTCGACGGTAAAGTCGCGTAAAACTGTGCTGGAAGGCTACCTTGCATACATCAAAAAATTAGAGCAAGTTGAGCCTTCCTCACAACCATCAATTAGACTTTTGTTAATACCGATAATGCCACTTTTTTATAACACTTTTTTTAAATCAAAATATAATCAAATTGTAGAAAATCATATTTTAAAATACAACAAAGCAAAAATAAGAATTAGCGAAATACTACGCCTGATAATTGATCAAGTAGATGCACAGTGTGCGGAGCTGTTTAACAAGAACTTAACTTCATCAGACCTTAATGAAGAGTGAAGCTATATTGGCAGTTCTATCTCAGATTATTCATAAAAAAGTTTTTTTTTTTGATTTGTGTTTTGAGCCTACCAGTCCTGAAAATACGTATTGGATTCTTATAACAGCGTGTTCAATCGAATTTCTCAATCGAGACGCATCATTGTAAGTGTGTGTCTGTAAAATGTTTTAGCCTAATTAATAAGCGTTCAGTAGACTTCAAATTTCTAATAAGTATCGTAGCCGTCAATTATGGATACTCTTTGATTCGTATAAACGCAAGGGAAGAATGGAAATACAAACTTTGTAGGGGCTATAAATTTTTAAATGAGCTGAGGAACGTTTACTCTGCTTACTATTTGTGCGAGAACTTTATCAGTACTCAGTTGCCGTTGGAATTTGAAACAAACTATAAAAAATACAAATTATGTTTTGACCTGAACATTCGTAAAAACACACGAACCGACTTTTTTGAAGGCTATTTTTTCCAAATTCCCACTAACTATCTCAAAATAAACTATATTTTGCAGCCTGCTTCTTGTACACAGTATAACGGAACTGATGGAGCTTTGCTATGGTTGTATTTTAACAGCTCAGACGTCACCACTGAAGACGAACACCGAAAAACGGTCATGAATAAACTGCAAACTAACTATGACAATCTGCAAATCATAGAGACGAGTTGTTACGCGAAGTTGTACAATCATTTTATGGATTCAGGCGCTTGGCGAGCCAGATATGTGGTCTGCGTGTGTACTGATTTTTATATTTTCATCATTGACGCAGTCAGAGAATACTTCGAGCCTTTGTACAACGAGAGGTCGTTTTTAATTTACGTTATGAGTGTTCCACTATCGTCGTATCGAAATGACGATGAAAAACTTGGATTATACATCAGCGACTTGACTTTCATTTACAATACCACTGGCTGCCCGCAAAACATACTCGCAGATTATAACGTAGTATCAGAAGCTTATTTGAACAACTTTTACTACGATCCAAACACGATTGTAAATCTATCTATCTGGCATAATCGCACGTCGGAAATCCAGAAAATTATACTTTACTATTATAGGCTGCTGATTTATGACTACTTCAGCCAGACAAAAACGCAAATAATAGACAACTACGTCATATCAGTTCTGTCGAATAGGACTCTACCAGAAACACAGGTCATGGAGATGATAAAAATGAATCTTGAAAGCGTCGACATCGTAGCAAAAATCACTAACCTATTTGATTTCTACATTACACATCCAGAATCCATTTTGAACGAAATTATCGACATAAGCAAACTTAGCTTACTGCGACAAGTCGATGAAATGTTGCATAAACGCGTGGCTTTGATTGCAAGCATGTTTATAACGGCTATGGAGGCGCTTTGCTTGCCCAGTGGGTTGAAAATATTTGAGGAATTGCTAATTTTTGCAGATAACGATGAGAACTTACTCATGAAAGCGCACGTTTTGAAATTAATCTGCTTTGTTTTACATTGGCGACCAGTAGATCTACGAAAACCGATAGAATTAAACATCTCGCTGTACGATTTGTTGTTGTCCAATCGACTCGTAAACCGAAATTATACGTATGATGCTAGAATTTTGACCGTTTTGGATTCAGTTCATGTTTTGAAAATTATAAACAAATTAGAAAAAGCGTGCGCCCTAAAAAACAAAACGGAACAGCCCATCCAGGACTTGGAAATCTGCGACTGCTTGCACATATTTCATGCTTATTTGAAAAGTGTTTCGTCATCTAAAACAGAAGTCATTAATATATACGATAAAATAATAAAAGAAATACATCTCAATCATGTGGACCCAACCACGATTAGAATCATTTTGAATTTGGTTTCGGAGTATACTGAATCTATTTTGCAAAATTTCTCCATTAATCGAGAAATGATCGAAAGATTTTTGACGATTACAAAACTACTGACTGAAAAAACTATGTTTGATTCTAAACTGTGCAGTTTGCTTGTACGCTTGTTAGCCAATTGGGAGGCGCTAACTCTTGAGTCAAAAAAATTAATGTTGGAGTTTGTTTCAATACTCGTTAAAAAACCCATATGGAAGTTGAAGTTTTTTAAATTTAATTTGATCCCCATTCTATTAGATATACTTCAAATTATTTTGCTCAGGCTGCAGGAAAAATCAATAGAACTCTTAGTAATCACGTCTGACTTGCTCTCTCAGTTCGTTGACATTCCCGAATGTTGGAGCTATTTCACAAATAGAGTTCCGCCACTAGACCATATACTCGCTACTTTCGATATTATCGAGGTCACGGGTGATACAAGATTTTTGATTATCTTGATTGAAGTGTTTTACCGTTTTGTGAATATCGACAAACGACTTTTGGTTCGAATCGCCAAGCACATCCAACCCAATTTAATTTATTATATATGCAAATCGCCATCTGAAGAACTTGTAACTAGCGCCATAAAGCTGCTTGAGCAGCTTTGTAACGATAGCCGTAACCTTAGAGAATTAGCAAGTTCGAGTTACTGTTCACAAATAAAAGTACAAATTAATACGCACTGGAAAGAAAACAGTCAGATAGTTTCTTATTATCAGATGCTAAAACGAGAACTAGATTCTTTTGAAGAAGAAAAACAGCATGAGATTTCGTCTTATAAAAAATCGCGCGTTTTTTTGAAAAAAAAAGCATTGCCCGGTAAATTGTTGTATAAAAAATAAAAACATGGTGTTGACTTTATAGTTAGTTGATTCGTCACTAAAAAACTATTTGTCTAAGCCGTGATAGCTCAGTTGGGAGAGCGTAAGACTGAAGATCTTAAAGTCCCGTGTTCGATCCACGGTCGCGGCATTTTTCATAACGCAAAAACTTAGTTGCTACTGCTAGAAAGTGCAAAAATGATATTTTTAAGGTTCCATAGCTCAGTAGGTAGAGCGTGTGGCTGTTAACCACAAAGTCAGAGGTTCGATCCCTCTTGGAACCGGATTTAATTGTTTTTTATTTGAGTAATTTTTATAGTTATTTAAAAACCTGATTTATGATTATTATAACTTAATATTTTTGAGTTGATTTGAACTAAATGATTGATGTGACTACGTGTATTGGCGAGTTGCCTGTATTACGTATACTTAGTGTGTTTTTTCAAGCTAACGATAAAAATATATTTTAGAGACAAGCTATAAATATGAAGCAAAACAACATATCTAAATTAGGTTCCATAGCTCAGTAGGCAGAGCGTGTGGCTGTTAACCACAAAGTCAGAGGTTCGATCCCTCTTGGAACCGGTGTTTTTAATTTTTATAAAAATAGGGTTATAATAAAATCAAAGCACTATTTGGAATTTGTTAGGCTTGAGTCAATTTATTAAAAAATAATTGAACCCAAATTTTGTGATTTTTGGTGCACTTGAATAGTTTTATGATAGGCAATTAGGATTTGAATGTCTCTCAATGAAAAACAAGCATTCATTCGCACTGCTGCAATGTGAAGGTAAGCAGAAACAACTTGCTAGTTTTCTATATTTTATTTCTTTGTTTAAGCAATGGTATCTTACAGTAGTAAACTGTATGTCTACATCGGCATTTGTAACGCTATTTTTCATTATTGGGATTATAATTTACAACGAGTACCTTAGGATTTACAACGTCTCATTGAAAAAATCGTTTATCTTGAATATGGAAATCAAACAAAATACAGATTCTAGCACCAAAATTAATGTAATGAAAGTCATGCAAATAATCTTCTTTATAGTATTATCGAAAATACTGGATCAAGTCGCCAATATCTTGATTACTTATATAATTCAAGCATTGGAGAATGCATTAATGATCAGATTAACCAACCATATTTTTAACACTAAAATGCCTTTTATCAAGTATACGAACGCTTTTAAATTTTCAGAAGTCTTGTGTTCGGACGTGTCTTCATCGTCGATTCCGTTTTACACGGTTACAATGATATTACTCCCTTCTATTTTAAACTTTGTACTCTCGGGAAACGTTATAAAGAAGGTTTTGAACAATAATGCAGCCATAGGTATTGCATTTATTTGGATTATAAACACAATTTTTTTATTTTTGTTTTGCTACAGAAGCAACTTTTACAACTCAGTCCACACATTGAAAACCAATTTAAAGAATTTTGTAGCCAGGTCTATCAGTCAATTAAAAATCTTTAAACAACATTGTGTTGTTGATACTGAAATCCAAAAATGTCAATACTTTCAGATGACCTATGGTGAAGAAAAGAAAAACTACGAATACTTTTCCAGTATAATCATGATATTGATCTATCTACAATACTGGGGTTTAGTGTTTTTATTAATTAAATACTACATTTACTTGAACAAAAAAAGCAGTACGACAGTTATCGCCGCGAATATCTATTCTATCATTGAAATTTGCATGAAAACGTTTAATTTCTCGGAAAAACTTTCCAAATCGCTATTTAATTTGGTAAAAACAATTTTTCAGTTTGAAAACGTTATTGAGATTTTTGCCTTGCCACTGGAAGACGGAGTTGTCAAGGTTGGCGGAAAAGATGTTTCAATAGAGTTTAATGATGTAAATATTGGGTACGGCACTTTTTACATTATAAAAAAATTAAATTTCAGTATTCCCCCGCGGGCTATGATTAGTATTGTTGCTGCTTCAGGTGTTGGCAAATCGACTCTGGCGAACCTTTTAATCAAGTTTCATCTGATGTATTCAGGCAAAGTTTTTGTGGCAAACGCGTTGTTAAATTATATCAACGAGAAAAATTTGAGGAACCATATTTGTTTGTTGACGTTTGACGGTGGTTTGCTAACCGGAACAATAAAATATAATATTCTACTTTTGTCAAGTAGACGTTACAGTGATAACGAAATATGTGAAAAACTGAATGAAATCGGTTGTTTGTCTTATATCGAGGCTATGGGAGGACTTAATTATTTTATCCAGCTTGACTATTCTTGTTTGAGCCGAGGTCAAACAAAATTGTTAATATTTTTGCGTCTCTTATTTTCTAGTTTCTCGGTTGTTATGATTGACGAGCCCTTTACAGAAATCGATCAGCATATTGAAGATTATATGCATCGTGTTTTGAACATAATTGAAGGAAAGTTCTCTATTGTGATATTTCAAAACATAAACAAATATAAAAGATTATCTAAATTTAGTTATTATTTACTATCAGCTGAAGGAATCTGTCCTATGGATCTAATTGATGCAATCGAGTAATTCTAGTTTATGTTAATTTATTGTATTGGTGTTTTAGTGTATTTGACTTAATATTCAATAAAAAAAGAGCTCCATGTGGGGCTCGAACCCACGACCTTCGGCACATAAGGCCGACGCTCTGGCCGACTGAGCTAACGGAGCTAAAAACTGAAAGTTGTGCCAAATTTAGATTTGTAGTGTAGAAAGTGGTACAGCGACTATTCAACCGACAGTATATTAAAAACAAAAAATTGATAAAACTACGCAATTATTGATAAAAAACAATATAAATAATTGCTATTAAGCGGTTTTTGGTCTAATTAACTTGTAGCTCAGGCATATACTCGGGTCAACGTTTCAAAATGTCAACGACGAGATTCGAACTCGTGCCCTTTCAGACTGTGACCTGAACACAGCGCCTTAGACCACTCGGCCACGTTGACGATTGTGACACAAGCACAACATTATAAATATTGTAAGCCGATCGTTGACTAGTTTAAATGTTCGAAAAATCTATATGTGTATCTACTTGTTTAAATAAAATGTGTTATTGACATGGGCTTAACACATGCCTTTGAAGATTTTTATAATTCTTAAACATGAAGCTGACAGAGTCTAAATCAATAGTTATACTAGATAATTTTGATGACAAAACGTCTTCTTATAAAATAATTAACCACGGCGGAAATTACAAAGTCGCAACTGAAGAGGAATATAAAAATGAATTAATAAAAGAAGAAGATTACATAAACAGTTCTTTCTCCAACGTTTTTGAGTTAAGGCCATTGAATAATCTTGGTAGTCACCGTCCTAAATACACTGTGCAGTATCTAGATGAAGACAAACTGCGCAATTACAAAATCGACAGCTTTAGACTAGCAGTTCCTAAAGATGTCAACAACAATAAATATAATAATGTCTGCGAGTATATGCGTCATGCTGGGAACTGTTTCTGGCCGATACCAATGAAAACTGATTACTACTCGAATGAAGACAAAAAAGCTTTAGAAGCGATAAAAAATTCTAAATTTATCTACGGCTATTTTGTTGATTCGGTAGTCGCCCGATCTTGGTTAAGTAAATTTAGCCCTTATTCCGACAAGTCTTCTTGTGGAATAGAGTCTCAACAAAGTTTCTTTAACAGACTGAAATCGTTCTTCAGCAAGCCCGAACAAGCTAACAGTAAAGAGTTACCAAAGAATTATAATGTATTCTCGCTTCAAAACCGTTTAAACAGCTTTATTGAAGCTAGAGAGTTCTGGGAAAGAGAAATGAAATTTAAAAATTCCGCTCAGTAAATAAATAATAGATTACATTGCTTATTGAATAAGTAACGCATTTAAGTTTTTAGAAAAGAAAGCAATATTTATCAATGCCTAAAAAAAGTATTCTTTTGAAAAAGCAACTTACTTCTGCTTCGAACTTCCGTTTTGTCAATTCTAATATGTCTAACAACTTCTCACAGTATTTGTCAGCACTGGATCTACAAAAGATGGTCAAACATAAACTTACTGACATTCGTTGAATTGTTTTCGTACAGTGGACATGATTTTTACGTCTCTTTCTGTCATTGGTACGCTATGAGCAAATGCTGCTTTTAAATTATCTTCTGTCAGCATAGTTAGAACGTGTAAATGATGGATATGATATTTGTTTATATGTTTTAAATATTGGAAGTAGATTAAGTATCCATATGGATCATGGTCCCCTGCATATATAATATTTATATCTTGTTTCAAAACGTAAATTTCATTTAATATCTGTAGAGTGGTTCTATCTGGAAAACCTCTTGCTGTTAGAAATGTTACATTGCTGAAATTTACAATATTATTGCAAATAATGTAGTTCATTATGGCTAAAAAATTTGAAAGCTAAGTAACTTACAGTGTTTTTCCAATATTATTAAATATTCAAAACATTTGCTATGAACATGGTGTTTAAAATCATTGAACGAGTCGATTGTTAAATTTTTTTCTTTGAGCAGTGAATTATAAATAATGCCTTTAGAAGCAGGTATGATTCCATACTGCAGATTGTTGCTATAATTTAGTATAGCCAGTAATTCTGCAAAATTGTTTTGAATATTTACTTACTATTTAGCTCAGCTATACAATGACGTTGCGAAATGTAATATTTGACTAGTCTATAATAAACACCACGATAGGAAACTGTTTCATCGTTCGTTAAAATAGAATGTACCTCAGAATATAAAGCAATTTCTACAATTTAATGCACAAAGTAAAACATACTTCTTTGAATTGTTTCACTGTCTTGTTCTAACAATACAGTACCATTAAGGATATCTTCAAAATAGTCACTACATAATTTCGTAAGGATTTTAAGCGAAGTAGACATGTTTCAAATGAAGCTTTCATTGTTTTAAATCTGTTTTTAAAAACGTTTTCTATGAATAATTATGTGGCTACTACTAAAAATTATAGTTGAGGAAAACATATTTAAAAATTTGGAAAACTAAATCAATTTATACCGTTTTCCAAAGCTTTCTTAGCTTTCCATTCGGCACGTTTTTGAGCTTTTTTAGAAAGTTTGGTTGTATCTTTGTCAGCAGAAGACCCTTTGGTATAAACATTCATATCAATTTTAGTTTTGACATTTTGCAAACTAGTTTTTCCACCAGGAATTAAAACTAAATGATAGTAATCATCTATCTTATCTATTCTAGCGAAACCAACACGAAGCAACTGAATGTAATCTCCCTGAGCAACATTGCTAAATGATTCTTCGATCAGAATATCAGTTTGAATGTGGTTGTTTTTGTTGATGATTTCTTCAATCTCGTCATTTTTCTCTGGTTGTGTTTTGTTTATTAAGCGGTCATATTCATGCAAAACCCCTTTCATTAACTTGTCTGTTTTGGATACCCAATGGAGCTTGAATTTTGTGGTTTTGAAATTTCCGTATAAATTAGCTTCTGAGTTGACAAAAGTAATGGTTCCGTTATCGTCCTTGAAAATTTCTTTAACAATCACGTTACCTGCGTTAAGCAAAGTTATTTCTAAACCTTCGACGAAATTTAGTGCGTCGTTCATATCAACTAATACAGTATCTGACAAAGTATAGTGAATCTGGCCAAAGTCTGGATTTTTTGGATGGAGAGAACGAACAAGCGAACGTTTTTCTTCTGGAATGTTGGAAATATTCATGACTACGTACGGACTTTGTACAATGCTGTACCGCTTAGCTAAGTTGTCAATTGTTTTAGAGTTGATACTCAAAAGTTTATCCCATTCCATTAAATTGGTGTTCTTGCTAGGTCCTATTTCAATCATGAATTTCCTTAAAGAGTCTGGATGAATTCCTCTTCGAATTAAACCACGCACAGTAGGGAATCGAGGATCGTCCCACCCGGAAACAAATTTGTTCTGGACTAGTTTCGCTAATTTTCTTTTACTTAATACCGTGTTAGTAAGGTTTAAGCGACTAAACTCAAATATTTCAACTTTACGAACATTTAGAACATCCTGAACCCATTGATACATTGGAATTCGATCGGCATATTCGTTTGCTCTCAACGCGTGAGTAATACCGCTCCAGGAATCGATTAAAGGGCAGCAAAAATCATAAGTTGGCCAGCTTCTGTATTTTGTGCCATGTCTGTGATGCGGGTATAGGTTGCATCTCCAAAACACTGGGTCACGCATGCAACCATTTGCTGACTGCATATCGATTTTTCCACGCACACAACAAGCTTGGCCTATTTCAGTTCCCTGAAAAATCTCCTCGAGAAGTTTTAGATTCTTCTCCACTGGATTGTTTCTGCATTTACTTTCTATCTTTGCTAATCTTTCCTTTTTAATTGTTTCAGCATCTGTGTCGTCAACATATGCCAAGTTTTTTGAAATTAACTCCTTTATAGTGACTTGAAGCTCCGGTAGATAATCAGAACTAAAAGTTGGACCGCAAAAATTTACTTTCAAAAGCGCTAAGTCTTCTTCGATGGTCGACTGAAACTCAAGAGATTCTAATGTTGGGTTAGTGTCGTCAAATCTTAACAAAAGTTTTCCACCATAATAATTTATGAAAAACTCGTTTAACATTATCGCTTTGATGTGTCCTAAATGTAAATACCCACTTGGTTCAGGGGCGAATCTTAATACCAAGTTCCCTGGGCAAGGATTAGGTAATCTAGATGCAAAGGAATGCAGTACGTCCTTAGGCATTTCATACTGACTCAAATTAGTATTTATTCCGTCCATCTTTTATGTGCTATAACTTTTTTCTGGTATACTAGAGATAATTTCCAAAAAAATTTTATATAAAAATATATAAAAATATTAGGCTTCTAATGGGTATAATTTGAGCTGCAAATTACCTGCACTAAGCTAATATGGATATTGATTTTAATGTCGATATAAATGAGTTTTTAAGTTTTCTTGACGAAAATTCTAATAGCAAGTTAACTGAGTTAGTAGATGAACTTTCTACCGACAATGCTAAGTTAAAATCGTATTTGAACGAGATAGTCGAATCAATGCACGGTGATCTCGAATTCAATTGTACAAGTTACATTTGCTACTTAGTAGGCCAACGAGATATTGAACAGGCCAAACCGGAACATTTTAAATTTTTAAATTTGGAATTTGGCACCAGAGGAGATAATCTCCTCCCTGTGGCTGCTAATCCAGCAAGTCTTGGAAATCTGGCAGAAATAGTTAATACAGAACTAAGTATTTGCCAAGAACAAGTCGACGAATCTAAGCGTTTAATTGAGAAACTCCAAAAAAAAACTGAAAAAGTCGCTGTTGAACAAGATTTAGACGAGGTGGACAACTCGTTTGAAATCGTCGAAGATGTTGTGACTGAACAGATTTTAAACGAGGAGATTCGCGACTACAACGTGCCCCATTCTGAAATTGGGCTTGATGTGAGAGATTCAGAGAAAGATAAATTCAAGTTATCTAGTTATTGTGATGATACTTTTGAGAAGGTAATAAATAATGAAACTAAACTGCTAAAAATGAAACGCAAACTGCATAACTCTAAGGTTTTGTCTAAGTTTTACAATATGAAACAACGGGAAATAACGCCCCAGATTAGAAAGGAGCTTGAAGTGTTAAATCTACGTAAGTATCTGTCTAAAAACAGCTTTTATCGTGGGTCAGGAAAAGAATCGCAATTGCTCAAGAATAATAAAGGATTTTTTGAAATCGGAGTTGTTAAGTCTAATAATAATTCGTCCGACGATGCAATGCTGATTAATAACAACAAGAAAAAACGTAGCAAGAAGCACACTCTTATCAAAGAAATATTATTGAGCCATACCAAGTGAGTAAATCTTTCACCTGGATGATTATTTGGAATTTATTGAGTTTTATATTTAAATAATTTATTTTCGTTATAATAATGGCATTGCTTTGACAATTCTTTCGATAAAGATTTGCTGTCAAAATTAATGTACTCGTGAAAAACTAGAACCATGTCAGATAATGAGAATCTTTTTGAGCTTAACGAAGAATACAACGAAGAAAATGTTTCAAAAAAGCGTAAAATAGAAGTTTCTCAATTTTTTGACTTTGAAGCACAGGAAAACCTTCGTGAGCATTCTGACGCTGAAGAAGCTGATAATTACGACGATGAATTTTTGGACGATCAAAATTTGCCGGCTGACAAAGATTTCTATCAAGTTAAACGGGAAGCTGACTTGAGAGTAGAAGAGCGAGGCAACTACCTGGACGAATTTCGAAAAAAACTTTGCGAGTTGGAAAAAAGATATGCTGACGAGGACAAAGAAGAAGTGGAATTAGAACATCAAGTCGAGACTTCAGCTCCTAATATTCTTCCTACTATAACCCAGATACCCAAAGATTCGGAAGAGTCATACTCTGGAACCTACTTTGAAGATCCTGATTTTCAACTTTGGTATGTTAAAGTAGTTTCTACTGGCGCAGAGAAAGAAGCTTGCTACAACGTTTACAAAAAGTATTGTAACGAAAAAAACAAGTTTGGGGACAACTGCCCCATTTACTCAGTTTTTGCCAGCAACGTGGCCAAGGGTTATTTGTACATTGAAGGAGCTTCGTTTCCTGATATTTCTTCATTCTTATCCGACGTGCCGCTCGTCAGTCCAAAAACCCTTCGATTGGTTCCAATTGAGGAAATACCAGTCGTCATTGAAGTGAATAAATCTAAAGACAATTATTTTTATCTTGGAGATTGGGTCAGAGTGACGCGAGGTCGCTATGAAGGCGAAATTGCTTTGGTTAGTGCGGTCGATAATTCAAAAAAAACAACTGTACTTAGAATGATTCCCAAAATAAACCTGGCGAAATTAACTTTATTGAAAAAAACTGAAAATGCTAAAGCAGATTCTAGTTCAACCAATGTTGATGATAACACTACGGAGTCGTTTTGTTTACATCCTATCACGAAAGAAATGTTGGATGAATACGAAATTAGCTACGAGTTCGTGCTCAACTTTACTAGTTGCATTAAGTTCGTGGGACATACTATTGAAGAGAACACAGGATTCTTGATTAAGACGTTGAAAACGTCTATTTTAAAAAGCGATTTACCAACTGCTGAAGAACTAGAGTTATTTCAGAAATACTGTCCAAAGCTGTCTGAATTAGTTGGTGCGGATGTCGAAATGAAATGTTCAATCGCAATCAATTTGGCGCTAAACCAATGTGTCGAAGTTATAAGCGGCGAGTTTAAAGGAATGCGAGGTTTCGTGCAGTCTATAAATAACGACGGCACAGTAAAAATTTCAGCTAACAACCAAGTTTTACTCGTTGGTTTGAACGAAATTAAGAAAATAGTTAATATTGGAGAATCAGTAACAATTGTCGACGGAGAAAACAAGAACAAGTCCGGACTTGTAGTTTCTGTAAATGAAGATCGTGTGTGTATTTTGACTTCCGATTCTTCGAGTGTTATTGAATGCCCTGTTAAGTCAGTAATGCTTTTGGAAAAGTCGGCAGCCTCCGACTCTGTACTTTCTTTGAATGGATTTACAGTAGGGGATTTTGTACTTTTAGATGGTGAGCGAAATGCTGGAGTCATAATTAGAATCTATAGAACTCAAATGTGCGATGTGCTGTCTACAAAAGGTTTGATTTGTTTGGAACTTTTTCGCTTAACTAAAACAACTATTTACAAACAGAATTTCATTTTGGATAGCGAAGGTGAGAAAGTGCATACAAAGTCAATTGTTGAAATAATTAGTGGTCCCAATGCAGGTTTGAATTGCGTAGTAGAATATATATGGCGAGATTTTTTATTTCTAAAACACTCTGAAGCTTTTGAAACAAATGGCCATTTAATTGCAGAGTCTTCGATGATAAAGTTAGTAGAAAGTGCTGCGGATTCAGCAGCTTTCAATCAAAGCGATTTCCGACCTATGGGTATAATAAAGCACCATTCGATTATGGGAGAATCAGTAATATTAACTAAAGGTTTCCACAAAGGAATGTTAGGTCAGATTCGAAACATCGATGGAAAAATGGCATCTGTGTTAATTCCAGCATTGGGAAGTCAAGTACGAGTCAATCTAAATGAATTGAGAGTGTTAAATTATAATAGTGGAGCGTCAAGATTAGTTAAACGAGCTTTACAAAAAGCCTCAAGATAATTTATTTCACTGAACAATTCATTGATTACTATTTCGAACTTTTTTTATATAAATAAAATATTAAATAATTCAACTGCATTTTCATTGTTTTAGCGTATTTCCACTAAATGTATGAGATCGAGTAATGATAATCAATCCAATACAGAGCTTCTTGACATTAAGAATGAGCTGCTACACTTACCTCAAGACAATTCTGCTTTAAATAGACAAAAACGACGTGAAATATTTCAGCGTTTGATCGCTTACATGTTCATTGGGCTGGACATGAGCTCTTTGTTTAAAGAGGTTATGCTGGTTTCCGTCACTGACGATGTTGTTCAAAAAAAGCTGATCGCTATATTTTTGAATTCATACGCAGCGAAAGACAAAGAGCTGTGTACCTTATTAATAAATAACTATATGCGAGACTTGACTAATAAAGACGCGATCATTCGTGGAGTTGCATTGAAGTCACTTGTTAAAATTTGTTCCAACGAGGAGGAGTACATACAAGATCATTTGGTTCGAGCTTTAAACGATTCGGACTACTATGTGCAAAAAATTGCTTTGATTTCACTAAAGCAGTTTCAGGCAGATGAAGAATATTTATCTCTGCTTTTGAAATTAATTCAGGATAAAAGAATTCAAAACGAATTGTACATATTTTCGCTGTACAATATAATTACGTTAAACGATTCTTTTGAAGTCTGCAAAGAAATTATTATTAAAATTCTAAGTTCACTTTCTAATTGCAAAGTTTTCGACAAACTACTATGTTTTACGATTCTTTCAAGATATACGCCGGAGTCTAAAAAAGAGCTTTTGCAATTTTATGACTTACTGGACCAGTACCTAACCTGCAACGATATTACAATTTTTATTTCTTGTTTTTATTGTATGTTGAGCTTGCAGAAGAATTTTTTTGTTTCATCGGATGATTATCAGTTAAGCATAGATATAAAAAAAGCTCTCTTTGGGTCGTTGACGGAAACTGTAGTGACTTTTCTTTCGTTTATAAATAGCGATCAGCAAAATATTTTGCTTGAATTTGTACTTAAAATGATCGATTTATACCCTGCTGACTTGGTTCCGTTATTACGAGATAAGATATCGAATTTTTTTCCACAATATTTAGATATTGTACGACTCACGAATTTGAAGTTTCAAATAATAACTCGTTTATTGTCCACAGAAAACTGCTATGAAGTACTGGAAACTGTTCTGACCTATTGGTTGCCGGCTTATCAAGCAAATTGCAATTTTGACAGTTTTTTTTTGTTTGTTGAGAAGTGTGCCGAATTAAGTTTTTCGAATTTAGATTTAATTCAAAATTACGTTTGCACAGTAGTAAGCCCATACTGTAAAACTGTATTATGTTTGATGAGCGGTGTCAATAAGTTGTTATACAAAAAAAAAGAGAACGAGACAACATCAGCGATAATTAATGCAAGTGATATTTTACTTTTTTTACTAGAGCTAAACGTAATTGACGAAAATTTTATTTCGATAAATTTTGATTATCTAAAACCAGAGGATCTATTGACAAATCTTAAAATCGTATTATCTCCAATTTTTAACGATAAACAAAGAATAAAAATAAGACCAAAAGAAATTAGCACAACGATACTTAAGTGTTGTTCATTGTTA